CAGCTGAGGATGTTGAAGCCAAGAAAGGTGAAATGACTTTCCCAAGACCCGAGGGCCAGGAATAGAGCCTAAGCTCCCTACTCGCTATCCATATCTGATGATTCCTCATCAGACTTTTCTGACCCCAAATTCTGGAACAAACTGAAGATAACCAAAGCAAAGGCCAATCAAGGACATGGCATTGTCTGAGTGAGCTCCTTAAAGATAGCAGCCAGGTCTGTTCCTTTTTAATCTGATAGTCTTTAGCCTCGTGCCTCAGCCATACCAGGAAGTCAGTACACTTTGCATTAAAGCTTTAATTCTGTTCTTGGTAGAAAATTAAATTCTTTAACAGTGTCTGATGCTGCTGAGCATAATGTGTGTCGAGCTGTTCCTCAGAATATTTGCTCTGTGATCACGATGATTAAAGCCACCAAATATGCCTGTCTGGCGTGGCTCAGTGGTTGAGCGTCAGCCTGTGAACCAGGAGGTCATGGTTCGATTCCCGGTCAGGGCACATGCCTGGGTTGTGGGCTCCATTCCCAGTAGGGGGTGTGCAGGAGGCAGTCATCAATGGTTCTCTCTCATCATTGATTTCTCTGTATTTTTCTCCCTCTTCCTTCCCCTCTGAAATCAATAAAAACATATTTTAAAAACAAACAAACAAACAAAAAGCACACCTCCAAATATAAGAAAACATTCGTTGGTTGTTTGCCAGGATTAGAATAACAAATTTCTATATCTCAGACTTTTGTGAAGCCTGGTTTACTTGGGGTTACGTGGCCTCTCCCCAAATAGGATTGCTTCCAAGATGTGGTAGAACCTTGCTCTGCTTCCCAGACTTGGTGTTACGTAACCACGTGGGCTTGGGTTTACCCACGTGCAGATGGGCTTGCGCTTGCTGAGTTCTGTTTTGTTTTTCCCCCCTCTGGTTAACAATCAGAGGTATTCTCACCAGGAAAAACACACTTATAAGGTTGGGATTTAGGATTGCGTCCCGGACGGTGTCTTACCCAGTGCGTTCCCTTCCCTGCTGGGGAAGTCCAGGAATACATTTTTGGATAATGAGGAAAATGTTCCACAAAGTTTCACTCTGCTGTTATATTCATCTCACATCTCGTAAGTGTAGACATACAGCTTATGGCTTTTTAGTGTTTTTTTTTCCTTAGTGTGCATTTCACAACTTTACATTTTTTTTCCAGTTTTTGACACTTGCGTCTGCCAAAACTTCAGAGATGTAATCAACACAAACAATTGTGTGTTCGTTGGAAAAACCTTCCAATATCATTGAGGGATTAGTCCTATATTTTGATGACTTGATATAATTATAAACCCTTACAAATTAAAGGTACACTTAATTTCAGAGATGTTAGATGGAGATGCAAGTGCATTTCTCTCTTCATTATTCAGAATTCTAAGCCATGAAAGCCCCTTAACTACAAATGAACTAGACTAGCACGATGACTTCCATACCTCTTGAGTGTTTACTGTGTTATGTATTGGACAAAAGTTGAAGATCCTATTCTCTTCTGACTAAGAGACGATAAAAGCTCATGGCTTATGGCTTTGTTCTGTGTGTGCGCATGAATATTTTGAAATTCATTGTAATGACCATTCAGTGTAACCATATGCAATTGTGCTTGGCACATTTTCAAGGTAATCGCTAGCGGAAAAATGCACATCTCGCTTATCACAGGAGAAGCAATTACGATGGAGGAAGGGCCTACATGCAAGGAAGCGTTAGGGCATTTGAGATAAAGAAATGGCCTATTTGGAATGCAGTATTTCCTGTTCAGTGGAAATTCTGAGAGTCTGTTACTGTGGCTCAGCAAAGTTGCCTAAAAGTAAGGAAGATGGTGGGACTATATACAGGACCCGGCATTTCTGTTTAGTAACACCAATAGGACAACTAAAAAATGAAAATTCACAAGTGAAGCAATCCCTTGAGAGTAATTAAAAAGTGTATTGTCGGAATAACGGAAAAGAGGTATTTTTAGCGCTTACTGAGTGTTTTCACACGTTAATTCTTTGACACTTGTTGCCCTGGTGAGGCACGCGTGGCAGATCTTGTCATTACCCTTGTCTGAGGTCTCGCCATTTTTTAGGCAGAGCTGGGAGTAGAATGAGCAATTCCGATGGACCTCCCCACCATTTGATACAGCCTTTCCATGCTTCCTAGGACCCAGCACTGATAGGCATCTAGCTGATGACAGCAGGTCCATGTGGCTGCAGCTGTAGGCACACATCAGTCTTTACCAACGACCATTACGTGGTCTTTGTCCTGGTCTTCTCTCCTTTGCCCGTCCTTTGGTTCTGTCGCATGCACTCACAAAACCTGTGAGAGTAATTCCAAAAATAGTGCTTGCTGCAAGCTATCCATCCACCCACCCACCCATCACCCCTCCTCCCCAAACCATCCATCCATCGCATCTAATCTATTATCTATCATCTATCTATCTATCTATCTATCTATCTATCTATGTATCTATCTATCTCTACCCACCTATCCATCCAGTCAGTAAGCTCGTTTTTATATCTGCCACCCTGCATGTCTTGTTCCCCACACGCTCCGACTGCGTCTGTCCGGCGGTTGGAGAGACGGGCAGGGTGACAGTTGCTCTGGCCATTACCCAGGTGTGATAAATTGTGCAGTAGTCTCCCCAGCACCATCGCGCATACGTTGGAAGTGTTTAGGGCATTGTAACTTGGGGGAATTTCCGATCTTTCATAAATAACCACGCATCTGTCCCTGTTATCAGGCAGCTTCCCTTGTCTGTTTCCAACTGCTCAGCGCCGTTCCAGGAGTGCATTAGAACCCGGCCGGGTGGTATTATGGGGGATGAATGAGCCACGGGGAAAAGCCGCCGTATTTTTCTTAAAGCAATTCTGTCCCCTTTCTACAAAGTCAGAGCGAAGCAATTTGCAATTAAGATTCTGTAGGATATTCTCTGTCAGGAAAGCCATCCCTGGCTGCGGGTTTTAAAAGTGCAGCTTTTGTACATTAAAGCTTTTCCCTGTACAGGTGGATTGTAAATATCACTTCTACCAGCAAATTCAAAATAGTCTTAATTCATTATGATTCACCGTGGATTCTTATAGAAGAAAAATGAAAAGTAGTTATAACCTGAGTTCAGTTAGAAATAATTAAGTGTCTGATATGCATTTATCTGGATGAGGTTCAGGAATTCAGGGAAAATTGTCAATAATTTTAGTTTGATGTGCTTTTCTGCAGGAAACAATTTCCTTTTCGGGGAAAAATGGCATTGTTAAATGAATTATAATTTAAGATTATTTTGTTTCCTGTCTGTTCCCATGCGTTTAATGAAAGTTATGAAGTCACATCTTTTCTTACCATATACGGCCCATAACCTAGTTTCTTAGGTTCTTTCCAAAAGAAAATATTTTCATAGGAATGACCCAACCTGTGCTGCTCGATTTTACAAAAGTGCCATCACTGTAATCTAGGGAACGCCCTGCAGAATAAACGCACATACAGATAGCGCCGTAGGGGACATCAGATGACACTTCGAGGCCAGGAGACGTGTGTTCAAGCTGACCTTGAAGTCGCTAAGGGACTCGCAAGAACGAACATCAGACAGGAGGGTAGCTGAGAGGAGTCTCGGGCGTTTGGAGTCGGCACAGGAGGAATGGCAAGTGGGTTATCAGACCCAGAACCAAATGCCCACACGTTCCTGGGGCAAAGGGGAAGGAGCCTCAGCTGCCCGTCTCCCTCTGCACACTCACAGCCGCGCACCACGGGCACACAGGATGCTGCTTCTAGGACAGTGGTTCTCAACCTTCCTAACGCCGTGATACTTTAATACAGTTCCTCATGTGGTGGTGACCCCCAACCATAAAATTATTTTCGTGGCTACTTCATCACTGTAATTTTGCTACTGTTATGAATCGTCATGTAAATATCTGATATGCAGGATGTATTTTCATTATTACAAAGTGAACATAATTAAAGCATAGTGATTAATCACAAAAGCAGTATGTAATTATATATGTGTTTTCCAATGGTCTTAGGCGACCCCTGTGAAAGGGTGGTTCGACCCCTAAAGGGGTCTTGACCCACAGGTTGAGAACCGCTGTTCTGGGAGATGTTCTCTGATCACTTTGTCTTGCTTTTCTTTGTGAAAAACAATAGCGCACGTAGCCTCCAGTCATAATGTGTGACTCATCTGAGGCTCCGAGAATCAGCAGTTGTTAAATAGCAAATCCGAACAAGCCCAGTTTCTTAAAAGCTTTTTGGTGACCGTTCTGACGGTTGTAGTCTGCTTTGAGTAGAGTTTGTCTTTCTGGGAAAGGGAAACAGTTTTAAGGTTAGCGCCATGAGATTATTTTAAAAGAGGACTTTGATCAACGGTCTCCAAAAATACATTCTTAAGTACTTTATTTTGTCTATGTTGTGCTTCGGTTTTCCTTATTCTGCGATTTCTCTCTTCTCTTCTCATTTACAGTGCTATTCGGGTTAAGATCCTTTCCTCCAGTGCATCACTGTTCTCTTCCCTTCATCAGCATCCTATTCCTTTTCCCTAAATCTGAAATTCATCTGTTTCCCATTTCTGCACATCTTGAACTGTCTCTTGTCCTGGAGGAATGTTCTCATGAGTTCTGCTAGCAACACCCATAATAACCATGTAAATCGAATCCCTAATTAATTACGGAGCCTGCACAAAACCAATATGATCTGCTTGAATTAATGAATATGAAATTGAAAAGGAGAATATTGCTTACTGTCCCCGGGTAGGATTGAGGAATGTAAAGTTAACAAAACCGCATGGTAGATTGGAGAGTCAAGCTTGAGTTCTTAGTTTATAATCATGATCTGAAACCACGTGTAGGGTTTAACAGTCCTAAACGCTCTCTGCTCTTGGCTTCCGTTCCTGAGCCAGAATGAGTTCCCTGGTTAGGGGCGCCAGTCATTGAGGACCCCGAGTAACGGCCGGTACCTAGTGTTGCGGGGTTATCATTTGTGGTAAATTTGTTCTCAAATTGGCATTTTTCTCCTAATTCAGGGTAGAAATTTAGCCTCTGGAGAGGTTGGATTTTTTCCAAGTGATGCCGTCAAGCCTTGCCCATGCGTAAGTATGAGTATTTTCTTCTATTTTGTTTTTGATGTTGTAATTAATTGTCCAAGGATGTACAATCGATGCTGGCCTGGTTGCTCGTTAATTTTGTTAATATTTTCTGGAGCGATCATACTATGGCGTGTTTGAATGCTTTGGCCAATGTTGTTAAAATTCCCCAATCGTTATGATTTGATTGTCAGAAAATATTTTTTAAAGGTAGGAGAGTATAGGCAAGAAGACAATGTAACTTAGTAGAATTTATAAAATTAAATTGTCTACAAGGCTTTAGGAGGAATCACCAAAGCTACAGATTAGATGAACTGTACCAATTTCTCTTTTCCCACCGAGGCGAGATGCGAGTCTAATCTAGTCCCCGTCACGCTGGGTTACAGAGAGATGTTACACTTGAACTAGTGTGTTGGAAAGCATGAAAGTCGAAAATTCTTCAATCAAATCTCTAAATACATTTTACTGTGCTTTAGCTTGTCATTACTGTTTATTTAATGTTATAATGACATTTTACAAAATCATCAAACACATTAGGTTGATACAAGAAGAATGAATGAGTATTCAAATATTATTACAGACGACTATAACATAACACGTACTGTCTAGTGCTTTATGAGATTTATAAATTTCTGTTTACGGGTGACATTATTTTATCATAATTTGCTGTTTAGGGTGTATTTTTCTGTGAAACATTTAAAGTTCTTGACTCTAGGTAAATAAATGTTTTTACTAAAATAATGGAGTTGATGGTTTGGGAAAAACAAAACCACCCTTAATTTGTCTTGCTTGCCATATTTCAGTCCTTCCTGGATCTCTATACTGGAGCATCTTTTTTTTTTTTTTAAATATATTTTATTGATTTTTCACAGAGAGGAAGGGAGAGAGATAGAAAGAGTTAGAAACATCGACGAGAGAGAAACATCGATCAGCTGCCTCTTGCACATCCCCCACCAGGGATGTGCCCACAACCCAGGTACATGCCCTTGACCGGAATCGAACCCGGGACCTCTCAGTCCCGGGTAGGCTGACGCTCTATCCACTGAGCCAAACCGGTTTCGGCAGGAGCATCTTTAAAAAAAAAAAATATATATATATATATATATATATTGTTTTCAGAGGGGAAGGGAGAGAGAGAGAGACAGAGAAAGAGAGAGAGAGAGAGAAAGAGAGAAAGAAATATCAATGATGAGAAAGAATCATGGATCGGCTACCTCCAGCACGCCCCACACTGGGGATCGAGCCCGCAACCCGGGCATGTGCCCCGACCGGAATCGAACCATGACCTCCTGGTTCATAGGTCGACGCTCAACCACTGAGCCACACTGGCTGGCTGGAGCATCTTTTTAATGTTACACGCGTGAACGGCTGCCATCTTAGATTTCAGAATGTCACCTGTAGGATCATTCACTCCACTCGCTCCTGCTTAATTAATTTCAAAAGCAGAGGGAATCCGGAAGCATGTGCTGATCTGTTGATTCTGTGATCAAATGTCCCATATTTTTTATCTTCTGCTATAATCTTGAAAATCTGTTGAAGTTCACTTATCTAATCAGACAAGCAAAAAGGGTTGTTAGCCCGTTTTCTGTCATTTGTATAAACAGGGTTCAGGCTTCCTGTGCTGAGAGCAGTGGTGTGCCCATGAGGGCAGGTAGCGGGAGATTGTGTGTTCTCACATGAGGATGTTGGGAACCTAAAATCATCAGGTCACGGATACTAAGCATTTCATATTCCAAGTCCACACCGTCTCATTTCATTTAATCCGTACCCAAGCGCATGCTGAGGAAATTTCCGGGGCCATGTACATCTTCCCATCGGAAGGGAAACGGTTGAAGATGGAGTCCTATTTGCGAAACAAAGGGCCTAAGATAATGTTTGCAGGATTCCAAGGGGGGTAACTTACTTCCAATATTATTTGCGATGTATCGAGATTTTAGAGGCGGTAAAGATAGAAATGGAATTCATCGGGTCACAATATTTAAATGTTGATGGCTTTAGGGATGTTCTGAGCAGAAAGGTAACGCTTTGATATGTAACTCTTCATCTGAAAGGACAAAAGAGGAGCAGCCTATTATGAAACCAGGCATGTTCCCATTGGCCACACCTCGGAAATATGATTGCTTTCACTGTTAAAAATGATGCTAACAATATTTTCAATCACTGGGTGGAAAAAGGCCCAGGAATATACCATGGTGCGGATATATCACAGAGTCACATGATTCATGAAAAATTTCTGAACAGGAGACAACCTGTCTGTACTCCTGGGTTTATCAACTTTGCCCATCTACAGAGTATGTCTTTTACTTGTTATTTCATGAATATTAGCATACCCGCATTGGCTTTGTTCATTTTCTAGTTTCCATAAGCAACCAGAGGGACTTTTCTTTCTTTTTCTTTCTTTGTGAGCTTAGAAAATGTACTATTTTTCTCTTTTGCAAAAAGAGGAAAAATGAATCTTTTCCATGACTTTTCCCTGAAAATCAGAGTTTAGACTTTGCGTTACAAATGCGGAGGCTACCTGCAGTACATACTGTTGCTGGGCCTGTTTCCCAAGGTCTTAGAAAGCGGGGTGCTGTTTGGTTACCCTAACATTTTCCTTTTAATTTTCCATAAGACTAAGCTGCCTTGATAATAAATACCCAAAGTTTCCAGTTCATATTTCTCCTGTTATCTCTCCCCTTGGAAGTACAGTGGCAGCAAAATGAATGAAAGGATGGATTAAAGCGAGATGAATTATGTTCTGTTTCCCTGACATAGACCGTGATTCACTATGTGTGAAATGGCCGGTGGATAGACCTGGCGCTGTGCTACTTAGGGGTTTCTAGCTGAGTCAGCTGAACTGAATTAGTGATTGATTTCTAGAAGCTTCCCTTAAGTAAACTTAATCTATTTTGGCTTTTTTATATCCTAGGTGCCCAAACCAGTAGATTATTCTTGCCAGCCTTGGTAAGTATTAAAAATATTTATGCAGCTGAGTTGACATGCCATACCCGTAGTTCAAGGGCGCCATAAAGGAGGGGGGGTGCCAAACCACATTCCATGTCCATTTGTTGGATGGAGGTGTGTTCAAAGGCAACGACAAAAAAACTTTTAAAGACATATTTTACTCAGTACTGCTAGTTACTTAAGAAAATTGCTTAGCCAATGTGTGGGCTAACAGAATTAATCTTATATCCAAAAATTAGTTTAAAAATAATTTAAATTGTTACTGGAGTTTTCTTGAGAAAGATGCTCAAGGTACATTTCATTTCATAGTGTACATAGGAAAGGTGAAGTTTTGGGGTTGTGTGTGTGTGTGTGTACGTTTGTGTGTGTGCGTGTGTGTGTGTGTGTGTGTGTGCGTGTGTGTGTGTGTTCCCTAAACTCCCTCCAGCTCTAACCTGGTACCTATTGGCTCCTCTCCATGCCTCATTCATTTATTTGATAAATATTTCCTGTGTGTTAAGCATGGTTCATTTTACTCTTGTTAGCTTTGTAGAGCACTTGCGTTTGAAAGAATTAAAGGATGTCTCTGAATTATTCCTTTTGAAGCGATGGAATTAGTAGGCACAGAAGTCAGGAGAGCTCAGAGCTGCCACGAAGTTAACATCCTGGCAGGTGCCTACCTGTAGCCTCTGCTCTTTTCCAGGCACATCACACAGATGCCTCTCCTTGTCTCTTCCAGGTACGCCGGGGCGATGGAGAGACTGCAGGCGGAGACTGAGCTTATTAACAGGCCGAACAGCACTTACCTGGTGAGGCTCCGGACCAAAGAGTCGGGCGAATATGCAATTAGCATTAAGTAAGTAGGACAAGCAATTTCACAGAAATAGAACTCCTGTTTGCAACTGCGCAGACCCTCCGACATGTGTAACCCCGAAGTTGAAAACCAAGGATCTAATTACAGCAGGAATAATGCTTCTATCCAGACAGGGCACTGCTACTTGAAAACATCCGCTAGAAACACACAATGAAGTGGGACAGGCTGCTAATTGGCATATTAGCTTTCGTCATAACATTGTATTTGGGTGACTTGACGTGTGTATGTTTTTGGTAAATTCTAAGAGTATAAATAACTGGATTTTGTTCTATTTTGTTTTTCTATATTCTCCAGTGGAACTTACTAAATACATTGAGCATAATGATTGGTCAAATCTAATTTCCCTTCTCCCTTCAAAGATTGGTTGTGTCTTCAACCGATCTAGTAAATATATTTGGCAAATTAGTTGTCACCACTGTATTGGCATAGGTATATATTTTGTCTTCCGAATTAATTCCTGTAGCGTTATTGGGGCATGCCCTCTGGCCATTATTGATTTCTTCTGATTAAAACCACATTTATATTCATAAGTTATTCATTGCCCACAGGTACAATAATGAAGCAAAGCACATCAAGATTGTAACAAGAGATGGCTTATTTCACATTGCAGAAAATAGAAAATTTAAAAGTTTAATGGTAAGCATTGATTAGTTCGTTTCAATCTGTGGGCCTTATTTTTCTCTTATTGGGAAGGTCAGTTTAATTCTATAGTTTTATAGAAATTCTGCTCACTGAGAAGTTGTTTGAAGAGAATCATACTACCATTTTGCAGCAGATCCTGAAAATTCTAATTTTAGGAATTCCAATTGTTTTATAGTGCCCTAGTCATGGTTTTCATTGTAATGCAAGTTTTAGATAGTATTTCAGAGTCTACACTCCTTATGAGTCAGAGTAATAGACAAATACAGATACGGTGACCTTTCAGTTCTCTGTGTGAGTTTTGCCTTGTGTTGGATGAAACCCAGCAAATGTTGAATATTCACCTCTGTCCTCCCCTTCCTTCCTCCACTTCTACATCCTCATTCAGGTAGAGGAAGGTATTTTAAATTATAGCACAAAAAGTCGTCATTGTAATTGGTGAAACACTTCTCACATTTAGGTTCATTTAATATGAAATGCAATATACTGTCACATAGAAACACTTTTTGTATTTTCTGCTATTTTTAAAAATATATTTTTATTGATTTTAGAGAGGAAGGAAGAGGGAGAGAGAGAAATATCAAAGGTGAGAGAGAACCATTGATTGGCTGCCTCCTGCACGCCCCCTACCAGAGATCGAGCCCACAGCCCCGGCATGTGCCCTGACCAGGAATCAATCCGTGACCTCCGGGTTTATAGGTTGACACTCAACCACTGAGCCACGCCAGCTGGGCTATTTTCTGCTATTTTAAATGCTCTGTGTTCTCCTTCATGACCTTGCACAATTAAACATGAACAAGGTACCATTTTTACCATACAAGGATCTCATGGGAACTTTACATTTAAATTGAAAGAGTATATATGCAATAGTTGCTTTACAAGAAAAAAGATTGTTTAATAAAATATACAATCTTAAATAATTTAATACAGTTATTTAATAAAATAGCCACTTTAAATAATTACAACCTAATAATTGTATTAGTAGCTAAGAATATTATGTATATGCCATATAGACCGTGCCTACACCTCACTATACTGTATATGCATTGCTGATAGTAAAAGAGTTCATGTTGCCTTAAGAGTGGTCTAGGGTTGAGGGCGTTTCCTGAGATGATGAAAATTGGGACCCAGGACGTGCGATGCGTGGGGAGTGGTCTCCCGGGCACATTGAGTAGCATCAGGAAGGACCTCTTACTGATCAGGCCATCCGTCCAGTGATCCAGGCTCCAGCCTTCCGGAAAACATCTCAAAACGCGTTGCAGATGTCAGCATCGAAGCTAGAGCGGAGAGTAAGAGAGCCTCCACGCAGGCACTAGCAGGCCTGCTCTAAAACCTGGACCGCCCCAAGGCGGGAACGGGGTTTCCAAGATAGGGCAGCATCCCCAGTCAAAGGGAAAGTCAGAAACCTCTGCATGGAAATCTCAGTCCCCATCCAAACACGAAGGCGGGCAGTGAGATCGCGTCCTGGGAAGTGGGAACTCTGCTCCAGGCCCAGACACCCCCCGGGGGCTGTGACTCGCGTCCTGTTGGCACCGGCAGGCTGTGCACAGAGAGGGGGGGACCTGAGGAGCGCGCTCCCAGCCTGAGGACCTGGGGACGCACCGATGCCGAGTGACCGCCCAGCCCAGACATGATCAAAGCGTGCAGAGGGCGCGGGCATCTCCTCGCTGCAGGGCACGCCAGCTCCAGTCTGCACCCGCAGGGCTCCCGGGGGTGGGAACGAGGCTGCTCCACGGGTCACGGTCACTAGGAGGCTTCAGACTGCTGTGGGGCCAACGATGGGTTCCAGCCCTGCCGACTCGGAAAGTAACAACAGCCACACCGCCACCCCCATCAGAGGAGCCGAGGAGACCGGAGGAAAGGAAGAGGCACTGGAAAGGGTTGAGCAGTGCAGCGCGGTGCCACCCAGTTCTGCTGCAGAAAGTTCTTGAGCAGCTGCGGTCCGATGGGAAAAGCCAGTGATACCACAGCGACTGGGTTCGTGACAGAGGTCCTTGGCTGGAGAGAAGCAGCAGAGACCCAGGACTCCAGCAGTTTGCACCAGAGAGCAATGCCCTCTTCCACAGTGGTCTTCTGGAAAGGGGTTAAGAGGACCTGTCCCAGAGCTAACATGGGCAGCCCTCACACGACAGGTGAAATGCCACTGCTAGAGACACATGGGTATGATTTCCTCCATATGCTGGGTGGTTCTTCTGTAAGGCCGATAGCAGTCGGTGCAAGGGAGGGGATTAAGAATTATAGCAAAACTACGATGAAACTACAAACCATTAGCAAAGGATATACGATTGTACCACGGACAGAACTCTGTTTCATTCCGTCAATGACAGACCACATCTGTGACGGCGGTCCTGTAAGATTAAAATGGAGCTGAAGCCCTAGCTGGTTTGTCTCTGTGGTTAGAGCTTTGGCCCACGGACTGAAGGGTCTTTGGTTCGATTCCAGTCAAGGGCACATACGTCGGTTGTAGGCTTGATCCCCAGCCCTGGTTGGGGCGGGTGTGGGAGGCAACCAGTCGATGTGCCTCTCTATCACATAGATGTTTCTCTCCCCTCCTCTCTCTCTCTCCCCCTCCTTCCACTCTAAAAATCAATAGAAAAATCCTCCAGTGAGAATCAACAACAACAACAAAAATGGTGCTGAAAAATTCCTATCTTTTGGTGACATGGTAGGGCAACACCTGAACCCCATGTCTGTGGTGGTGCTGGTGTGCAGACCTACTGCGCTCCAGGCCTCTAAAAAGCATAGGACGTACATAATACTCAATAAGGACAGTGAACAACTGTGTGACTAATTTATGTATTGACTATACATTTTTAAACTATATTTTTATTGATTTCAGAGAGGAAGAGGGAGGGAGGGAGGGAGGGAGAGAGAGAGAGAGAGAGAGAGAGAGAGAGAGAGAGAGAGAGAGAGAGAGAAAGAAACATCAACGGTGAGAGAGGACATTGATCAGCTGCCTCCTGCACGCCCCCCACTGGGGATGGAGCCTGCAACCTGGGCATGTGCCCTTGACCGGAATCGAACCTGGGACCCTTCAGTCCTCAGGCTGACGCTCTATCCACTGAGCCAAACTGACTAGGGCTTGACTATTCTTTTAATCATTATTTTAGAGTGTACTCTTTCTGCTTTGGAAAAATAGTTGGCTGTAAAACAGTGTGCCGGGTTCCACCTTGTCCATAGTCTCTCTACGGCATGATTTTCTCTGGTGCTTGATTCACACTCGTGTGATTTTGCTCATGGCGTCCCCTGCACGTTCGCGTGATGAAATCGCCTAAGGATGCCTTTCTGAGAACCATCCCGTCATTACGCCTGACAGTAACTGTAAAAGGAACGAAAGACAAGGAGCTGATACGTCTTAGGAAAACACTTTGGCCCGGGTTAGCACCTGCCCGGAGCAGATGGTGCCGAGATGGCTGAGGGTGTCAGAGCTGCCCTGCTCGGGGCTTCTGTTCTTGCTGAGCATTGGCGTGGAGTCCTCCCTGCGTGAAGCCGCCGTGCGTTTGCAGGGTTCAGAAGGGGCGCCACTGTGTTCTAAAGATGCTTTCAAATCAGGACATCCACCTGGTACCACAGTGCTGTCCTTGGACCTGAAGTAGGAAGTACTACGAGGACCCAAGATCGGGGGGGCGGCTCCTGCCAGGAACCGGCCCCTTGGGAAGGAGGGGGAGGCTCACAGGCACCATCACCCTGGCCATGTGGGGGCCTCTCTAACCCGGGACCACACAGCTTCATGGCGTTTCCTTTGATGCTGTTGGTGTCCAATAGCACAATTCCCGTATGAGTGGGGTCTGTGGTTTTGAGTTGTCTCTTCAGAGTAGTTCACATCCTCCCATCTTGGTGGCCGAGTTCTGTTCTCCTACTTCAGAAGCTGCTTAGGGCCTGGAATGAAATTTGAATCTGGAATCGGATGTAAAGCACCGTCAGCCTCCAGAACTGGTGTTAAATGAGCCAGTTCCCCAAAGAGAGGCTCGGCCTTCAGGGGCTGGGACCTCACTTGTTTCCCTTGGGCTTCCGTAACTCGGTGAATCAAGATTTTTGGTGTTTTCCTCATCATTAAATTCAAGTTCTAAATGAATCTCTGCCTCCAGATTACAAGGCATTAATTTTGTTCTAATTGTCATGTGCGCCAGACCTTCCAGGGCCAAATGCTGTTTATAAATCATCCCCGGTGCCTGTTGCCTTGGTAACCGGAGTGACGGGCTCATTATTTCTGAGAGAGACTGGAGTTGCCGACACCTCTGTGTGAGTGTGAGATAAGGGGAGCTTAGCCATTGCTTTTGTTTAGAGTCGTCTTATTTACTTGTAGTACCTGAAGGTCAATGACTGTAAGCAGGGGCGGATTAGACTGAAAGGCGGGAAGCAAAAAGGCATCCCAGGGAAGAGATCCAGGCGGCGCCATTTCATTCTACCTGCTTAGGAACGTGTGGGAAGGCTCGCCCTCCTAGGACTGTAAAAATGGAGCTGGAATGTACCCCATGCTTAGTGAAGTGATAAAGAAGCGCTTTGCAGCTTACTCGTTCGCATGACCCTAGGGCTTGGAAAAGCCATTTTTCTTCACTAAAATGTGGAGGTGGGTAGGTATGAAGTGATCCCCAAGTCCTTCTCAGTACGATCACTCAAGCCAACTTCGCATAAACCTAAATTCATCCTAATCTATATATAGAAAAGCATAAGCAACCGTTATGACTGAATGACTGGTCGCTATGACGTGCACTGAGCAGGCAGGCAGGCAAGCAGTTAGGGGCAAGCGGTCCCGGATTGCGAAAGGGATGTCCGACTGCCTGTTTAGGCCCTATCCCTAAACCGGCAGTCGGACATCCCCCAAGGGGTCCTGGATTTCGAGAGGCACAAGCCGGACTGAGGGACCCCTCCCCACTCTCCCTCCCCCCCTCCCCCCATGTACTGGGCCTCTATCCAGAATTTCATGCATTGGGCCTCTAGTTTATAATAAAATGCATAAAATCTGTATTACCTGTAACTAAATCACACTGAAGTTGAAAGTTACTGGCTTATTCCTTTCCGGTTTATTTTCATATTTGTTACATTTTACTCAGTTTAAATAAGGAGCCTAAAAGAACAGCCCTCTGGAGTCATTTGAATCATCCTCACAGTATATGTGAGCACTGCTCTTTCAGAGCCCTGGCAGGATTCCCCTTTTTATGTGAAAAAGTTACATAGTAACATCCATCTCTAGAATTTAATTCCAGACTTGGCCTTTGCAGACCATGTTAAAAATCACTGTAATGCAAATGCCATATTCTGATCATTGAAACCATTTTGAGGATATAAATTTCTGTCTGATATTTTGTCCCTCCTCCTCCTCTTCTTGTCAGATTACAAATTCCTTTTCTTCATCAAGGATCCCTGTAATCTGGATCCAAGAAGGAAGAAATATATGTTTTTACTGATTTCAGAGAGGGAGAAAGAGAGAGAAATATCAACAATGAGAGAGAATCATTGATCAGCTGCCTCCTACACACCCCACACAGGGATCAAGCCCACAACCCGGGCATGTGCTCTCACTGGGTATTGAACCTTGACCTTCTGGTTCATAGGTCGATGCTCAACCACTGAGCAACACCAACTGGGTATATATATATATATTTCAAGTTATAGATATAATGTGTGTAAAAGCCTAGCACCTCAGGTCTACGTAAATAAAGTTCCTGGCCCATCACAGATTCTTAGCAAGTGCTCCTTCCCTGTAGCCTCCCCTGTGTGGGCTACCTTGGCCAGGAACCGCTTGCTCATAGTGTGATGCAGGTGGGAGAACGGCGCTGGAGGCAGACACCAGCTCTGTGACCTGCACACGTGGCAGAAGCTCGCTGGGACTTGCGCATCCCTGGGGACAAGGCCCACCTCTCGTTTCTTGTGTGAAGATTGTGAGGAACTATGTAAGCACCTGGTCAGGGGATGGTGGCAGCTGTCATGATCCTCACATGTGCCTGGCACTTCAGATACTCTTTGCTATCCACCGTGAAATTCTGCTATCCCCATTTCACAGATGTGAGAGTTGGAAAATCTCCTTTGCTTTATCCAGTGCTCAGCCCTACCGCGCTGCCTGTGGGCTGTGAGTGTGGTCTTCATCACCTCGTGTCTCTTCCCAGCCCGAAGGCTCCATTTAAAACAATCCGCTCGGCCGGCGTGGCCCAGTGGTTGAGCGTTAACCTATGAACCAGGAGGTCACGGTTCGATTCCCGGTCAGGGCACATGCCCGGTTGCGGCTTGTCCATCCATGTGGGGCGTGCAGGAGGCAGCTGATCTATGATTCTCTCTCATTATTGATGTTTCTGCTCTCTCTCCCTTCCTCTTTGAAATCAATAAAAATATACTAAAAAATAAAATAAAACAATCCTTCCCTCCTTCCTGGCTTTTGAAGTTGTACATGTTCTTCAGTGTAAGCCAGGCTGTATCATGAACTCCTCTCATCCTCCAAAAAGGACTCACCAAAGGAAGTTCTCTGTCTTGCCTTCGGACTCCCATAATCCCTCACTTTCCTTCAAGGGTGAGAACCCGGGAGGGCAGGGGCCTGATCTCCATAATCTTTGGACCCAGGAGCTCTCCAGGCGGTGAGCGTCCACAGCTCCTCGGAGTGAGGCCGTAAACGATGCACAGATCACTGGCGAGTCTCCTTTTCTTTTTCCGGGAGAGTTTGGCCCGGTTGGTTTGTCTGGGGAACTTGGAGCATAGCCACGGAATGATGTCAGTGTGAATTTTAGAAGCCACGGGTAGGTTCCACGCTGTTTCTCAGCGACTGTGCCGCAGTAGAAGCAACAAATGATTGAGTTAAAAGGGATTTTGCTTTTATTTGCATTTCAGCTGTTAGTAAGAGATGTTATAGCTCCAGTACTCATCCGACCATAATTTACGTTTTTCCCGTTATGAATTCATTACTATTTAATTTCTGTTTAAAGTCAGCGGATTTGGATTTGTGTAGAATCCATGCAACCAGCATCTCATAAGAAATTCCCTGAAATTTTAGTGTGAAAGAAGATGGGAGGTGATTATATTGGGCTTGGTGTATTTAAGGCCAATGAGGTATCAGAGAAGATTGGAAGGAGCCACGTCAGTGACCTGTGTAAGCGCCAGAGGCCACGCAGAGCTGGGAGATGGGCACCTGTGGACACGTCACCGTCAGCCACGCGCAACGCCAAGCAGCACCCGTGGCTTATCGACGCTGGTTCACCGTGGAGAAGTACATCGACGATTAAGTTTGCTCTTTGTGACGTTGGGAGGAAATGCAGGAAACTAGAAATTGCTATATATTCAGCAAACAGCTGTTCCCTTTGTTTTTGTTTAGAAAAGCAAGTATTTCATAAATAAGGGCAATAATTACTGTTCTGAGACTGACGTTGAGCATGGTTTCTCTCCATGGACCGTGGTCCCTCCCGCGTCTGACGGAAGACTCACAGGATGCTCTCCACCCAGGAGTGACAATAGGGACAACTCCCATTACAAGGGGCCGAGTAACCAAGGCAGTCACAGGGCAGGTGTCCCAAACGCGCCAACGGCAGGGGCGAATGTTACCGTTCCATAGGCTTATGGAAAGTTTCGCACCGAATGGCCCATCCTCATACATATGTCAGTGTGTGTGAAGGAGTCCATGCGTTTGAGAACCGACCTGGCCTTGTTAACAACGACCTTTTATTCTTCTTGCCCTCAGGAACTTGTGGAGTATTACAAGCACCACTCCCTGAAGGAAGGGTTCCGGAGCTTGGATACCACCCTCCAGTTTCCATACAAGGAGCCAGAGCCCGCAGCTGGACAGAGGGGCAGCAGGGTGGGCAGCAGCTGTGAGTACTGCCCTCTAACGGGTGGAGGCACAGAGCATTCAGTTCTTTCTTCCAGAGTTTGAGATCTAAACCAGTTAACACGCGAATGCCTTTAGCAAGGGGTTTCTCCAGCTAAGCAGAGTCAGACAGACCGACAGGTTTAAAACGTTTCCAGATACGGTTCTTGGTGCCAAGTTAAAAACCATGTTTGTATTCAGAGCTCCAAATGTAAAGGGTATGTTAATATGTAAGTTTTGTACTTTTCAGTGACTTTTACATCAGCCACACTTTTTTTTAAACTCCTCAACAGAGGATATGTTTATTGATTTTTTTTTAGAGAGAGGGGAAGGGGGGAGAGCAAGACAGAGAGAGAGAGAGAGAGAGAGAGATATCAATCGGTTGCCTCCCATAAATGCCCCAACCTAGAATCAAACTTGCAAAGCAGAAACTGAGGGAGAAGTAGGTGTCGTCAGACCCTTCAGTGTACAGGATGATGCTCCAACCAACCGAGCCACATGGGCCAGGGCAGCCAGCCTCTTTTTCTTTTACACATGTCTGCGGTCATAGTGCCATTTGGGCAGCAGTATTTAAGCAAGGCGCATGCCCAGCTCTCTCATCTCCTGTGATCCTGTTTAAAGATGACTTCCGGATCATGTTTCCTCTGTCGCCAGTATTGCTGAAAGCATACAGTAGCCACTGTCTTTTGGATCGAGCACTGGTCATCAAAGATTAGCATGCAGACCGCCAGCAGGTTCTGGTTGGATGTGAGCTCAAGGCAGACACTTTTTTCTCATCACCGCTTGATGTCATACGATCTTCCTGGAGGTAGACAGAGCTTGTAGAGAGACCATCGTGATGAAAAATGTTGGGAGTAAAGTGTGATTTCATTCTCTTAGTTTGATACCTTTTTTTAAAAAAACACCATAAAACTGTTTTGGAGGCTGAGCACAATTTTATTACTCCCAGAATGCTTAGCCTAAGCAAAACTGGGATTTCCAGAGGTATTTCAAAAAAGAATTTACATCTGTGCAATAGAACTTCAACTCCCCCCATCCCCCCCAAAAGCAGAAACTGAGGGAGAAGTATGTGTCGTCAGGGCTCTAACAGTGTCCGTAAAATCTTACACGTGTCCCATAAGCAAACGTTCAGGTGATTTGTCACACGCACTGACAGGCTTGGTGTTTATTTGAATAACGTCATAGCTATTCTCTTCGCAAGGATTCCTGACAGACGACCAGTCAAGGTAGTCACAGCACACTCGAGATTGGAACTTCCAACGCCGATTAGAAGTTATCTTTCTATCTTTTAGCCCAGTGTTACCCAGGTATCTTAGATTCTCAGGCAGGTGGAGGAGTTCTACGCTTTTCTGTCGGGTGATCAGAGAGGAGGTCGCTCATGAAGTGACCGGGAAGAAGCGAGTTAGTGCTTCATTAGTAGGAATGCACCATGGTCTACACTCCAAGACCATCCGACCGTTCCCCCGTCACAGGATTATAACCTTCACGCAAATCTGTGATTCTGCCCCGATGCTTTGTTTATTTATTTATTTGTTTGTTTTGTTGTTGTTGTTGTTAATCCTAAGCTGAGGATATTTTCCCACTGATTTTTAGGAAGAGTAGAAGGGAGAGGGAGAGGCGGAGAGAAACATCGATGTGAGAGAGACACATTGATTGGTTGCCTCCCACACACACTCTGACCAGGGCCAGGGAACCTGCAACCGAGGTATGTGCCCTTGATCGGAATCGAACCCAAGACCCTTCAGTGTGAGGGCCGATGCTCTATCCACTGAGCCGCACCGGCTAGGCTGCCCCAATGCTTTACTGACCTGGTGCTGACTCTTTCTGCTGCACTGGCTGCACTGGGAACGCTGCGCTGGCTCTGAGGGCTGCCCCCAGTGCTAGGTATGGAGCACTCAGCCTGGCCCTGCACGTGGTCACACCCAGGAGACGTGGCCGCTACTCTCTCTACCTCTTCAGCTTTTACTGCTACTGCCACTCCTCCTCTCACACAGAAACAGTTCCCTGTGTTTGTAAGAGTTGGGTAGAGCCACTGACTTTAACTCAGCAATTTAATCTTCGCCTTTATGATTTTTTCGGTAGACCTTGCTTATCCAAGCTCTGCGAAGGGTAACCCTGAGTGAAAGCCCTGCCTCTGTGTACGTGCCTCGCCTTCGGGGCTGGCCCGGCTGTGGTCGGGGGGATGCTGGGTACCCCGTATGAACGTGTGTGCGGGATGTGTGTGCCCACCTCTGCTCAGTAGCACCTAACGCAGCTTTCACCAAGAGGGTTGCCGGGGACCGTGCGTCCAAAAGGCCCCCGAGCAGCCAGCTGCAGCCAAGAGCCACCCTGTGCCGGGGAGGCTGGACGGAAGTTCCCAGCTGAGAGCTGCTGCTGGTTGTTCTTTGGTTCGGCTGTGATAGGAGAGTCCCGGGCGTGTGGCGGAGGCTGCTCGCTTCTGCACTGTCTGGGTTAGAATGCTCTTACCAACGAGATCGCCAACTCGTTTTCAGGTCAGTGGAATATGATGCGGTTAGGACAGAAGGCCCTCCTGCCAATGCAAAAACAAAAACACCAAAAACACCATGGAAACATCCATAGATTGGAATTACCCAGGAGGCCAGGGGGCATCCAGCACTTCAAGTTTGCAGCCCCTTGTCCACAGGCTCTGCGACTTTATATCACTGGAATGACCTGAGTGTTTCCGAGGGAGAAGGAGAGAGAAAGGACGAGGCGAGAATAGAGGGGGGACTCGGGCAGACAAGGGAAGACAAGGGAGCTGTTTGCTTCCCTGGAAACCGCAGTGACTCCATGGGAGACCCTCTGCCCTGTGCTGTGGGCCTGTGAGCATGCCTTTCTGTCCAGCAGTGGTCCCAGCAAGCCGGCCCGAGGCCACGGACCGTGCCCCCAAGGGCTGGTGTGTTTGGAGGGCACCGGGCTGCCTTTGCCTGACTTGCTCCTCCGTGAGCACACTTAATGCTGTTCAGGTCGGACCTTCGGCAAGTCACTTAGCCCGCCGGGGCCTCAGCGCTCTCCTCCGAGGAGGGAGGGATGAGATTAGAGATGTTATTACGCGCTTTTAAAGATAGCGTCTTAGATTGCTTTCTTCGCACATGAGAGGAGGAGGAGGAGAAGAAGAGGAATGTTAATGGACCAATTACACCGGGGAAAGTTGCACCATGAGCGATTTCATAACCACCAGCAGACCTCCGACATTTTGCAGAGTTCTTAATTAATTGGATCACAGAGTAGAGTTGGCTAATTTAAAAAAAAAATGTTGGTTATCGTTATTTAGATAATAGCAAAGGATCTTCTCACAAGAACGTATTAGTTGGAAAAGTTGGAAAAATACAAACCACTTAATCAAGTGATCAGAGTTCACATCACTAATGGGACAGACAGGTGTGATGCACCCCCAGACGTGATTCCCCCCAAACACAGCCCCGCCTCAGTGGTCTGTCTCCAAGAGGCTTCACCTGAGTCTAACTGCGAGGAAATGCCAGGCAAGGCCAAACGGACAGGCCGGCTATTCTGCGCTTAGGGAGTCCACACGGAGGTACTTGAACTCAGGGACATTGTGTGTGCAGGGTATTCTAACATGCTTTAGAAAAACCACCAACATCAGTAAAGGAAGGCCTCAAGAAGCTAAGTCAGGACCAGGGGCCCCTGGGAGACACAGCAGCTGGTAAAGTGCGTGTCGCTGACGTGTGAGAGAGCGTGGGAAGAAGGTGGGCTCGCGAACGAAGTAGAGATTGGCCCGGTCCTCGTGATGTGGTAACAGATACTAGAGCCGTCCTTCAAGCACTGCAAAGGCGGCCCGGGTCGTTGCGGCCAGACCAGTGACCTTGCAGGAAAAAGTGAAGGTCGGAGCCAGGGCTGGGCACGGGCGGAGCACAGGGGCCGGAGCACAGGGGCCAGCGACAGCAGCAGGGCCAGGTCGGAGCCGTGAGGGGGCCAGACGGCTGAGGCCTAACGGGACTTGACTCTGGACGCAGTGGGGAGCCTTGGAGGGACTGAAGCAAAGGTGAGACGTGGTCCCACTGAAGGTTTTCCAGGCGTCCTCTGGCTTCTCTGTTGAAACCAGGACCACGGGGAGAGGGACGAGGTAGAAAGATGGAGACCAGTTGCTCCTGCGCAGTCGGTGACAGATGGGGCCACCGTGGGCCGCCGAGGGGCCGTGCAGGTGCTGTATTTGGAAGGTGACCCAGCAGGTCATTCTCACACATCCCGTGTGAGCTGGAACAGCAGGAAATGGGTTGAGAAGGACTAAGGTTTTTGGCCTGAGTGACTGGAAGGTTGGAGGTTTCTTTTTTAAAAAAAGATATTTTTATTGATTTCAGAGAGGAAGGGAGAGGGAGAGAGAAACATCCATGATGAGAGAGAATCATGGATCGGCTGCCTCCTGCACGCCCCACACTGGGAATCGAGCCTACAATCCGGGCCTGTGTCCTGACCGGGAATCGAACCCTGACCTCCTGGCTCACAGGTTGACACTCAACCACTGAGCCAGGCCGGCCGGGCAGGTTGGAGGTTTTTCAGGGAGGGACTCAGCTGGAGCCCAAAGGCTCGCCGGAGCTTTCTCGAAGCAGAATGAACAGTCGCCACATCTCTGTTTCCGTGTGCCTGTCTCTTCGCTGATTTGTAAGCTCCCGTGAAGTCAGACTTGTCTTACTTGTCGCGTCTCCTGTAGCTCCTAACACAGCACTTTGCAAGCTTGTAGTTATCTAGTAAACGTCTGCCGACTCTTTTCGGAGAGTAAGGATTTAGACTCCATACACTTGATGCCTCTAAGTCATCTGAAACCCCTGGAGATGTCAGGGGTCCTAATTTCCGTATTAATAGGGAAGGCCTCAGACCTCCTGGTGTTTCTCGTGAGTGGCCTCCCGTGTTGAGCACTGCCTACAAAGCACTTGTTCCCTTTTTCTAATGATTCCTGATCCACGTTGTTCTTGTTATATCTGGATTTCATGTGAAAGGAGATTTGACCACTTACGTCCCCATTCAGTGAAATGAAACCAATCTGAATTATCCCTTATTTTTTTTCAGTGACGATACATAAAATATACAGTAAGCCCTGAACCAGGGGTTTTCTGTTTGTTTCATGGAGGGAGGTGGGAGCAGATACTGAATGCTGCTAGGGTTTAAGACGCAGCCCACGCTCTGAAACCATACCAGGTGAGGGGTCACGGTCCTGATGAAACATTCATCCAGCATGTTCTCTGCTGCGGGCCATCTGTAGACAGTCCTGGTATGAAGAACCTCCTGGATGGCACATCGAAGGGCCCACTTAGCATCCGGTTCTCCGGAAAGCCTCTCGGCTGCTGCAGGGCAGCTGACTCCCAGGGATCCCTGCGCCGATGGCAGGACCATCGGTCCAATTGCCTGACATTTTTACGAACAGCTTTTTATTATGCAAATGAGTGGACACAAGTGGCTGCTACAACTTGGAGCTGAGCGTTAGGCAGTGTCTATCCCAGAGAGCAGTGGGCAGGTGCGTAGGGCTGTGTTCACTTACACACGTCATGGAAGGTCAAGTGGCAGTTCAGGAACGCGGTGGGACTTCCTCACGGGGCCCGAGGAGCAGTGCTGATTGCGCTTGGTCTCCACCGTGTGCACATGTTAAGCGTCACTGAAAATTGAATTTTCATTCGTTCATGAACATGAGCTGTCTGATCAAGGCAGAGCTTATTAATTAAGGCAGCAACTAATTAGCCTTGACAGCCCTAGCGAGTGTGCTCAGTGGTTAGAGCGCCAGCCTGTGCACCAAAGGGTTGTAAGGTTCAATTCCCCCCAGTCGAGGGCAATGTACTTGGGTTGCAGGTCCAATCCCTGACCCAGTCAGGGCATGTGCGGGAGACAACGAATCAGTGTGTCTCTCTCACATCGATGTAGTTTTTTTCCCTCTCTCTCTCTCTCCCTCCCTCACTCCCTCCTTCCATTTCACTCTCTCTAAAAAAAAAATCAATGGAAAAAAATCCTCTGGTAAGGATTAACAACAAAAACAACAAAATTAGCCTTGACAACGAAAGTATAGGCGTCAGGCTGCCATTCATTACGTTTCTGTTCTGTAAACACTGTGCTCTTCCTGTGTCTGGAGTACGTCGGTGCTGTGTGGCTCCCTTTCTTGGTCAAGTCTCAGAACTGAATAGCATTCCGTAATGATTTGCCAATCAGTCGATTATGGCTATGCTGATAGACTCGATTCCCAGTGTATTTACTCAGCAGATGACTTCCGTTTCAGTTAGAGTTTCAGGACTTGGGACTTCGTTTGTTTAACTTGGAGATCATATTTGCTTCTATTCTTAGAGAAATATTGTCACTAGACAGTGGGCCACTTACTTGGCAACGCTCCACGAACGTTAGTGTGCACAAGGCACCAGGCGTGTGGAAAGTAAGCGGAGACCCCCCCCCCCCCCCGGATGTGGGGTCTCGCCCAGCCAGGTCCTGTCTGCAAACGGGAGTGAAACATGTTTGAGGAAGGAAGGGAGGCCCCCACCAGAGCATGCAGTTTGCAAATGACGACAGAGATCTCCGCGTTGACTTTCGGTGGTCTAGGTGGGCCCAGTTATGAATAGGAGACTTGTTTTTCTCAAGAAGGGTCCCCAAATGACGGGATGCCCAGCAGGCAGAACGTGCGCAGTATTGGGTGGTGGCGTGCATGTCAGGCCGGGAAGACAAGGGCCAGGAGATGAGAACCCCTCCAGGCTCCTGTTCAAACTCCTCGCTGGTTCTGACCCTCACAGCATCGGTGTTGGTAGAGCAGGTGGGGTCTGTGTGTGTGGAAACAGGTGGATCCGTTCCTAGTGTGGGTAGAAACACGTTCTGCAGGTTGAACCATGCTGCGCAATAGCTGCATCAGCACCGCATTCTGACATGGCTCACGTCTAGATCTAACCCACACTTCCCCAGGAGAACGTGTTATCTGGTATGCCTGTCGCCAGAGGCGCCAGGCATTTACAGGCTGTGTTGCCAGCTCAAGAATTAAGGACCTGAAGGCAGTGGAAATGGATGTCTCGGGAGGGTGGTGACGATAAGTCACGCGACTCTGCGTCTAAAGTGGGAAGCGTCCCGACCAGGCCTTAACCAGCTGCCTGAGAGCTCTAGCTGGGCGGCGGGAGAAGTGGAGCGCGTCCCTCTCAGGCATCCAGCGTGGTGCCTGCCAGGAGACCTACCGTCTGTAATAGCCGGTCAGCAGCGCAGAAAAAATGACAGTTATTGTAGGAACATCATTGGTAGATGCAGGCGGTCAGGGACCCTGGGGAGTAAGACCCAAGCATAACTGGCCTTCTGCCCTGGGCGTGTGCTGGCTTTCGTTGGAGTCTTCATTGAGCAGGTGAAGCGAGCAGGTGAGCTAGGCGAATAGGAGGAGGAGTCCTGGGAGCTGGCAGAATGAAAGACCCCGCTGAGAGACTTGTCCGCTCAGCAGCTTCAGCGTGCGGCCCTGGGCCCCAGCCCGCATCCAGTGGCGACGCAGAAGCCAGATAAGCTGGTCCCCGCTCCTCCGAATAACGGATCATGGGGGAGGCGACACAGGAGCACGCGGAGTCATTAGCAGTGGAGCCGGGAGGGCCATGACGTAAGCGCCCACAGATGGCCGGGAAGGACGGGGAGGGGACAGGTGTCCGGCTAGATCAGGGAAGGCTCGCGGAAGGGACCCGAGCTGGGCGTCGGCGACAAGGAGTAGGGTTAGCAGAGGAGCGGTGACGGAGCAACATTTCGAGGTGAGAATCCAGCTGAGGGTGCAGGGGTGTTGGGAAACGGGCCTGGGTGGAGGGACTTTGGGGCAACGGCCAGAGATTGGGTTCTGGAAGCAGGACCGGGCAGCCGTGGCTTGTCCTGGGTTTCACGTTGAGGAGAACACGCGAGTCTGTGTTTACAATGTGTGGCCAAGAAGCAGCATTTAGAAAGGACGGAAGGAAAGAATGTCCAAAGCAAGAAGGCCAGCTGGGAGGCCGTACACGGGTTTGCGAGGATGGTTTGCGAAGAGAACCCAGAAGTCGTATTGGAAAAGGACAGAAACATGGGAGACTGAGCGAGATGATGGGGAGGAAATTCCGTTTCAGGATGAGTTTCAGACGAGGGAAATCAGAGATAATGGTCGTACCTCCCAGCAGCATCATGGAGGTGTTTGAGCTCACAGAGTGGGACCCAGGTGAGGGGCAAAGGTACATCCAACAATCCGTTCCACGCGTTGGGGGAAAGTTCAGATTAGAGTGAAGCTAAGGCCTAACCCTGGGGAAATAACTCCCTTAAGATTATATTTTATTTTTTTAAAAATATATTTCTATTGATTTCAGGGAGGAAGGGAGAGGGAGAGAGATACAAACATCAATGGCGAGAGAGAATCATTGATTGGCTGGCTCCTGCACGCCCCCCACTGGGGATCGAGTCTGCAACCCGGGCCTGTGCCCTTGACCAGAATCGAACCCGGGACCCTTTGGTCCACAGGCTGACGCTCTACCCACTGGGCCAAACCGGCCAGGGCTTAAGGTGATAATGTTGTCGATGAGGTTTAAGAGGATCCTAATTGTAGCCACGTGGCACGGATGCCAACGCGGATGGCTCGGAAAAGCCTTTCTTTTGAGCATCCAGTTGCTTAACATTTCGCTTCCTCCCCACAACTTTGTGGGGGATACTTCCTTTCTCTCCCAGATGTGGTAAGATTCGGAGCGGTCCCTGTCTCATTTCTGGAGAAAGTTAGCATGGGCACGCGTAGTGGGGCGGTGGTGGGGTGGGGGTGAGTGGGTCCAAACACACCTGGACACGTGAGTGGATTTCTTAAGTTGTAGAAGGCTCCACCCTGCAGGCTCTTGTTCAGAAGTTTTGGCGGGAAGGATGGTTTACACGGAGAATGTGCAGGCTCCCCGTCTCCCGGAGGTGACAAGGCGGGGACCCACCACATCCAGAGGAGACGGTGGAAGGATTCCGAGTGGCACCCCGGAGTGGGGTGCTGTGCTCACCTGTAACGGGACAGACAGCCCCGAATTGGCAATCAGCACGGAAAAGGGTCTTCATTTAGAAACAATGATAAAAAGACGCAAAGTGAGCGCGAGTGAAGGTTGAGGTCCCAGCTTTGACGCGACAGTTTTCCTGTGATTATAGACAACGGGGCAGTTGTGTCAAGATGTTTTTTTTTCTTTTGCTGACAGCTAAATGTTCTTTTTGCTTCTCTCTCCCTCTCTCTCTCTCTCTCTCCCTCAGCCCCCTCTCTGTTCTGTGGGTTTTCTCTTGTCCCTCCTCCAGACTTCAGCTTTGTCCCCCCTTCCTCCACTCCTTTCTGGTCAGGTACTGCTCCACTGCTTGTCCGTGTCGTTTCCATTTGCTTCTGTTTGCAAAGAAAACAGTGTGCTTTCTCTGTGTGGCTTCCCATGTAGATGCATCTCTTCCCCAACAGCCCAGGTCACATTCGCACCTGCACCTCCCTCCCCTCTGTCGCAGCCTCACTGCTTGCCATGGCATTCCCCTCCTCCAGTGTGTGTGCGTGCGTGAGTGTGCATGTGTGCGTGCGTGTGCGCCCGTGTGTGTGTGCGTGTGTGTGTGTGTGTGCGCGCGCGCGCTCCCATTCTGTATTTCAGCAAGACAGTTTCTATTCAGCCCGTCGGGAGAGGTGGGGGAGGGATGAGGGCCAAGCGTATAAAAAGGGCGTGGAATACTCTATAAACCCATCAGTTTCTTTAAGGATCAGAAATTTTAGTTGAGAAAAGCCAGTGTTTAGAAAATAAATAGAACACAAACCCCCACTGGGTCTCCAAATGTAAGAGTGAAATTCAGCACAGGTGGCCCGAGGATGACTGTGCCCATCGTTTTGTGTCTGGGTATTTTTGCCTCAGTTTCTGTCATTAGCCAGAGAATGGAATCGTTATTCATGGGACGTCAAGGAGAGTAGGTTATGGCTGGATAAAGGATGTATCCTTACAGATTTAAAAACATTAACTTCTAAGTCCCAGCAGAACCATTTAGAACTAGGAGGGCCTTAGAAGTCAGTCACCTGGTACACACCTCTCGCTTCACAGGTGAGGAAAATGTAGCCTCCAGAACCTCAGAGAGGCAGGCCAGGCCTCGCGGCCCAGTCGATAATTGGCTTTTTCCATCACGGGTATTTTTATGTGCGCCCATCTAAGGCGTGCCCCATAATTCAGTAAGAAAACTATTCAAGTGGGTTTTGTCTGAGCAGTAAAATAAAACGACCTGTTTTTACTCCCTTTATACTTCTGAAATCTACAGCATTGCTATTTGTTTACCTTATGATTGACAGCTGGAGACTAAAAATATTTCTATCGTTGCGAAGCCACGAATGCCAGGCCAGGGGGCCCTGTGGCCACGTGCGCAGGCTCTGCCGGGCGGCTCAGGTGGCCACCTCGGCCGCCCGGGCTCTGGGCACTGTTACAAACACAGGCGCGTGGTGTTTCCTGTTTGTTTCTTTTTCTTTTACTTCAGTTCCTTCCATCCCAGGTGAGTGATTCTCAGAATCACTGAACATATAATTGAAAACACTTTATAACCCCAAAGAGCAACAGGTAGAGAAGTGGATATAAAGACATGCTCTGAAACACGAGATGCGAGCAGATGTGCAGCTCGAATGCGTTTTCCTTTCAAGACAGGTTTGGGCAGGGAGTCAGGGAGCTCCTGGTAACACAGCAGGTCAGCGTCAACCATGACAGCAATCTGAGTATAGGAGGTGAGCACGCTGACGTCATTTTGTAAAGAAATATGTTCTTATTGATTTTTAGAGAGAGGGGAAAGGAGAGGGAGCGAGAGAGGGATAGAAACGTCAATAATGAGAGAGACTCTTTGATTGGCTGCCTCCTGCACACCCCCACCCCCACCACCCCCTGCACAGGATCAAGGCTGCAACTGGGCATGTGCCCTGAACAGGAATCGAACCGTGAGCCCACCGACCTAGCTGACACCATTTTAATTACCTACGTCAGTGAAGGTTGTCTGTGAGGCAGGATTCATTGGAAAGAGAAGACAAATTGTGTTTGTGGAAACCTGATTTAAGCTTCTTCACCTAAGTGGAATTATATGTAAAACAGTAACTGAGTTTAGCCCCACATAAGTTTAGCAATAACAACAAAGAGGCCGGCTGGGGGAGGAAGTGCCATTTAACTGGAAGCGGTGAACGGGACTCCGCAGGAGACCTTCTGAGCAAAAACAAAGTGGTTGTTTGAGTCTTAGTCCTAAAAAGTTACGGGTGAACGGAAAGCTTTCTGCCTTTGCGGTTCTGGTAAGAGGCAGAATGTGTGGCATCGGTAGGAAGTGCATGCTAGCTCTTTCAGGTCCTTTCTCCTCAGATAGGAACCTTTTCTAAACAAAAAAGAGCCTGTTTTGTCGTTTTGAAGAATGTGAGAACAGACCGTGGCCTTTAGACTTTAGACAGTGACCTTGACCACTGATTGCCCTAAAGCCATCCTGCTGCTCGCTCCCGGGCTGCCTGCCATTGTCGCTGTCCGTCCGAAGTCACACCTCCGCATTGTGACAGCATCACTGACGCTCGCTCACCCACTTAGCCCCTCGGGGTCCTCACCCCGCAAATCAGCGACTCCCCGTCCTGTCTCCACAGTGCTGAGCCCCAAGGTGCTGGGCATCGCCGTGGCGCGCTACGACTTCTGTGCGAGGGACATGCGCGAGCTGTCCCTGCTGAAGGGGGACGTGGTGAAGATTTACACCAAGATGAGTGGCAATGGCTGGTGGCGAGGAGAAGCGAACGGCAAGGTGAGCTCTCCCTCTCGTGCGCTCGTGCCCGTGAACGAAGGTCATGGCAGCTGCAGGCCCCCCTCGAGCTGCTGGGGAGCAGCCCTCCCCCGGCAGCCTCCCCTCCCAGAACTCCGGCTCCGGGCCCTGCTGGTGTTTCTTACCCCCAAGAGGCCCGCGAGAAAAATGCGCTGAGGGACTGTGATGGTGGCATGAGCGCAGGTCACCTGCGCGAGGGCGCGGCTCCTGGTGGGCTGAGGGTTGAGGAGCGTCAGTCCCTCGGCCTCGGAGCAGAAACTTGCTGTGCAGAACAGACGGCCTCTCCAGGCTGCTGATCTCAGTTGGGAGGAATGGGACCCAGTACCGCTGTCTTCATAGCCCGCTCTGTTCTGTGGCAGAAAGAGGACTCATTCCATACCAGAGCCTGTGTCCTCCTTCATTTGCATATTCATTTGTGTGCCAGCCAATGGGAACTCTGTCCCGCTCTAGGAGCCCCTGAGCCTGCCTTGCCCGCCTGCACTGGGTATAAAACTCCAGCTTAACGGGTGTCAGGGAAACAGCATGCCGGGCGCAGACCCCTCGAGGGGCAGGCGTGAAGTCGCGTGGCTCACTGGCTGCTTCTCTCCTGTAGGTGGGCTGGTTTCCGTCCACGTACGTGGAGGTGGATGAGTAGGTGCCGGTCCAGCGTGGCTCCGCCCAGACCCTTCCGAGGCGGACAGACCGAAGCCTGCACGGCTGTGAACGAACCCATGTGTTTCAAAAGCTGCATTTCCGGCTATTCCACGTCCCCCTCCTGAGTCTTAATCCTGGGGTCCAAATGCTGGTGCTGACAGACAGCTGGGCACGGGACAGCGACCACTGGGTCATTGTCGGGGCCAGGGCAGAGCCTGAGCTTTCTTTCTCCCCCAAAGAGCCCAGCAAACACATGGTTCGTCTTTCCACGTCCTCCATCCGGCCCGACCCATGATGCCGCCATCAGGACACGCTTCCCGCCGGTTTCTTCTCACCAGAATTCTTTCATGGTCCAAAGAAGCAGAGTTCAGTGTTGCCCTTCCCAGCACAGAGCCCGCGAGAGCTCCGCCGTCGGCAGCCAAAGGAGGGTCCAGTATGACTCCTCGTCTTCAAGGGCCTCGTGGGGGCTCGTGGCGAACACTCTCATTCCGCTTCTCACCGGTTGTCCCGGCCACAGCGGAAGAGAGCGCGTAGTGCGAGCGTCTCCCTGGGAGGCCCTCCCGCCCCGTGGCCGCCTCGGGTTGTTTCGGAGACGTGCTCTCCCGCTTGGTGAAGTCACCTTGGCTGGGTGGGGCCAGGCGGCCGCGGGGAACCTGAGTGAGGACGCTTTGTCTACAGAAGCAGAGTAAGGGCTACATGTCTATGAGGTCATTGGACAGGAGCGACATCTGTTGACACCGCCTTCTTTCTCCCCTGCCCCCAAACCACCGCCCCCCCTTCCCCCCAAAAAAAGACCGAGGTAGGAGGGAGTTGCCGGTCTCCCTCTTCCCAGAGTATTTACAGCAGCACAAGCACAAACCAGTTTGCCGAGGGTTTGGGAAGGAAAGCACAGCGGGGTCCTGCCTGCATTTCTGGGCCCGGAGGGTCACGAGGCATTTCCGGGCTTCCTCGGCGTGGCCCCCAGCTTCCCACCGAGGGTCTCCCCACCCACCAGCAGCCCCTGTCGGAGGGTGTGAGCCACTGGAGAGATGAGTTTCTGCAGTGGATTGATTTGACCAAGCCTTCACTTTTTATGTGACGTGTTCTCTCTGTGATACACAGAGGCCCGGCCAAGGCAGTCAGGTGAAGACACTACGCAGCCCTTTCCCGATGAAATGGTTTCTCTGTAGCACAAGGTCCCGTCCAGATGAGATCCAGGGGGTGTTTCGGGTTTGAAGAAAACCCAGCATGAGAAGCATTAACTTAAGGAGCCAAACTGGGAGCGCCCAGTCGGAGGCTCTGGATCATGTCTGACGTGAGGGAGGTGCCACCTGCTCGCCCCCCGACCCTCAAATTCCAGAACCTACTGTTCAATGCCCACCTCCCCCTGTAGAGACCCCCGGGGCTAGGCCTTCTCAGATAGGATAGAGTCGGGACCTTTACCTCAGAATTATGTAAACTGTGATTGTGTTTTAGAGAAATTACTATTTGCTAAAACCAGTTAGAGTTGATTGTGTGTGTGTGTGTGTGTGTGTGTGTGTGTGTATGTAAATGACCATGGAGGGGAATTTTATAGACGTCTGTGCAGTAGACTTGTGCCCTCACGGTGTGTCCCCGTCTTACCTGCAGCTGTGAGTCGGGGAAGGTTCGTCTGTCACGGTCTGTGGTCAGGGAAGCAGCAGCGTCACGCGCGGAAACACCCCTGGGCGGGGTGGGAGCGGGTGTTGCTGCTGCAACCGCTAGACTCCCTTCCTCACCAGTGGTGTGTGGTCTTCCTGTTGCATTTCACGGGCCTGGGGGCGGCCCCTAGCAGAGGAGGTCGGAGCCCCTCTCACGATGCCGCCCGGCGTCTCTGTCTGCGTTCAGCGCTCCGTGTGGACACGGTCAGTGTGCGGGTTGGTGTCAATTTCTCATACCAAAGACAGAAGTCAGTGTTCATCCACATGCTTTGTCTTGCCCGTATGCAGCCTTGTGTACTATGGTGGGTTAGAGTGCTGTTTCATTTTGTAGTATTTTGTAAATATGTCAATACAATAAATAGTTACTACATGCAATAAATTGACGTCTTGAGAGCTGAAGAGTCTTTCCATTGAATGATTCCCTAATTCGACTTACAGCAGCCCCCCCCCCTTATCCATGGGGGGTATATTCCAAGACCCCCAGACCCCTATTTCATTTGTCCTATACATACATTCCCATGATAAAGTTTAACTTATGAATTAGGCACAGTAAGAGATGGACACGAATAACTAATAGTAAAATGGGACAATGAAAAGGATACACTGAGAGAAAAGTTACGTGACCGCAGCCTCGTTGTGTAAACTAAGGGCGACTTGAACACAAGCATCGTGAGACGTGACAGTTGATCTGGTCGCCTGATGGCCACTGAGAGACCGACAGGCCGGTAGCAGCGTTCACAGTGTGAGACGCTGGGCAGAGGATGAGTCGTAGCCCGGCCCAGACGGAGCAGAGCAGCGGGGTCTCCTCATGCTGCACGGAGTGGCGTGCACTTTAAATCTTATGAATTGAAGACTTCTGGGATTTTCCATTGATTTTCATACCTTGGGTGTCTGTGGGTAAACGGCTACCATGGAAAGTGGGGGGACTGCGGAATTCCAACCTCATCATAAACATGGGAAGAGAAGGCCTGATTTTGAACAGGTAGCTCCCGGGTTGTGGCCGTCACATGGCGCTCTCCCTGTGTTTGTCCAAATTCCCTCTTTATAACGGTGCCAGTGGTATTGGATTAGGGTCCCATACTTCCGCAGTATGATTTCATCTTAATTAGGTGCATTTGCCACAACCCTCTTTCCAAAGAAGTTCACATTTTGAGGTACTGGGGATAAGGGTTTCAACTTACAAATTTTGGGGGACACAAAACCTATAACAGCTCTCTCCCTTGCACTCTCAGATTATTAGCTTCCTAAAGATACAAAAGCTTCAGCAGTGTGGCTCAGCGGTTGAACGTTGTCCCATGCACCAGGAGGTCACTGGTTCGATTCTCAGTCAGGGCACGTGCCCAGGTTGCGGGCTTGATCCCCAGTAGGGGCTGTGCAGGAGGCAGCCGAGCGATGCTTCTCTCTCATCGATGTTTCTATCTCTCCTCCCTCCCTCTCCCTTCCATTTTCTGAAATCAATAAAAATATATTTAAAACAAAAAACCACAAAGAGCAGCAGGGATGGGGTGCATCGTGGGAAGAGAGATGTGCGCGCGGGAGAGGCGGAGCCACACGTGTCCACAGAACGTGTCCGGGTCTGTCCAGCTCAGCCTCAGGGGTGCGGTAAGGGACGGACTTCAGTGGAAGTGGCAGGAGTTGCCAACAGAAACAGCGCTTCTCCCGCTGCATTTCGCAGCCTCTCGGGCTGTCGGCCCCACGTGAATCCCCCCTGGTTTTCTCACCGTCTGTGTCGGGATCACACATCTTCTCACCAGGAGAGCGAAGCGCTTAACCACCTTCCTGGGATGAGCTCATTAGGAACAAGCAACCTGCTTCAATGAGTTAATGAAACGCTCCCGGGTCCTGTGCAGAATATGGCGAAGGGAGGAACAGTGGGAAGAGGGGCAGTGCCCTCAGCATGTATCACACTTGACGGTGAGGCGTTCTTGCCTGGGTGGTTTCCACTCGTGAAGTGAGATGCAGTGAATCTACGTCAGTGCAGAAGAAGCTGTCTTCTTCACCTTTATTCAGTCTGTCTGGTCTACGCATGCTACTCAGTTCCTTTTGCGTTTTCCTGCTGGACATAATCCTATTTTTAAGTCTTGCCTCAAAGATGATATTGAGTAGATATCAGAGTGTGTGTGTGTGTGTGGCGGGGGGGGGGGGGAGTTGGTGGGAGGGTACATGAAGGCAAGTGGAGGATAAACCCTAAATTAACAACCCTGGTGCCAAGTTCGAAGCCATTGAACAGAAAGATGCAAGCAAAAAGCTGGTGTACTCTCTTGGGACTTCTCAGCACAGCCCCAAATACAATTAAAATTGTGCAAGAAGCCAAACTTAAACTTGTAATCGCATAGCAAGTTATTTTTAAAACAATTAGCAGTTTCAAAGTTCTTACGATGTTAAAAGTACATACATTTTTTTTTCCAAGACAGTTTTGCAGCACAGCTAATGGGCAAGTGGGAAGAGCCCAGAAATGGGAATACATCAAAGCAGACGCCAGTGTTGGCCACTTCCACTGACGGGCCAGGAGCCTCTGGGGGGGTCCTGCAGACTCCCCGAGGCTCAGTTCCTCAGAGGAAGGAGGAAGGCATCAAAGTCGATCCCTTCTGGGCCTACTTCCCTTTGTCACATTCTCCCAATCTGCATCAGACATTTATTTGCTAAGGATTTAGCAAATCAAGTTTGTACACAGCACCAATAGAGAACTGAGGCTCCAACAAAATTGGGGTGCATCAGTCTTTCTTTTTTTAAAAAAAATATATTTTATTGATTTTTTTTACAGAGAGGAAGGGAGAGGGATAGAGAGTTAGGAACATCGATGAGAGAGAAACATTGATCAGATGCCTCTTGCACACCCCCTACTGGGGATGTGCCCGAAACCAAGGTACATGCCCTTGACTGGAATCAAACCTGGGACCCTTCAGTCCGCAGGCCGACGGTCTATCCACTGAGCCAAACCGGTTAGGGCACATCAGTCTTTGTTAACATCTCCACTCCCTCTACCTCACTCCCAAGTCAGCCTCCTCGCACTGGGCAGGAGCCCCACCGGCATCCCTACTCCCATTTCTGCTCCCGAACACAATTTGATTGTCATTCTCCAGAACTCTGCAACAGCTTCTGTTTGTTCAATGCGTGTATGGAGGGCTGACCCACATGCACGGGCGCTGGGGACACGTGGTGGGCAAAGCAGACAGTTTTCTGCTCTGATAGGGCCTACGTTATATAGGGAGACAGACAGTCAGTGAATGCACGTGGCGGGATGCACAGGACGTGGTAGATGCAATGGAGAAAGTGGAAGCAGAGGAAGGCGACAGTGAGAGGACGGTGCTAATTTAGACACGGCCGCCGTGGAGGGCCTCTCTGGGGAATATTTGCACGGAGACTGGAGAAGGGCGGAAGGAGTCATGTGACTCTCCGGTGCTGACCTGCAGGTGGGGGGAAGGGCTTGTGCAGATTCCTGGGGCGGGTGAGCTTGGCTCGGTTCCTCTGAGCACCGGCATGTGGGTCTGTGTTTGCAGAGCAGACTGAACAAGGCAGCGGCAGGCGGCGAGGGAGAGAGCTAATTTTGGGATCAGATCATGTAGGTCCTTGCAGGTAATGGCAAGGACTTTAGGTTTTATTTTTGGAAAAAAACCACTGGAGAGTTTTGAGCAGGGAAGTGACATCACCAAACTGGCGTTTTCAAAGTCTCATTTTGGCTGGTTGGTGACATGTCACTGACGGGAGAGGAGACAGGAGACGGAGAAGCCGTGAGCATGGGGCACACCCAGGCGAGGAGTGCGGGGGGCCCGCACTGGGAGGGCATCACGGGGTGAAAAGCACTGGGATTCGGGTATATTTTGAAGCCGCTTGGCCTTGATTACGGCTTGAATATGGAATGAGGGGGAAGAGAGAACCACAGTGGCTGATGCCAACATCTGGCGTAAATGGGAGACGCTGAGGCGTCATCTGCGGGAGGGACGGAGGGGGGGTCGCTGAGACTTGGATGGCGGCTCCTCTGTGATGGGTGACACCCTCGCTGGGAGGCCAGGAAGTCAGGGCGTGGCCACCTTCTTGGGTGAAATGGAAGAGGAGGGGCCCTGAGCTCCCCAGCAGGTGGCCCGGGCAGGCTGGGCCATCAGCATGGGCACGTCCACAGGCTGCTTCGTGGTTCCTTTCTGTTTGTTTGTGTGTAAATCCTCACCCGAGGGTATTTTCCCACTGATTTTTAGAGAGAGTGGAGGAGTGGAGGGGGAGGGAGAGACAGAGACATCGCTGTGAGAGACACATGGATTGGCTGCTCCTGCGCATGCCCCAACCAGAACCAGGGAACCTGCAACCGAGGTACATGCCCTCGACCGGAATCAAACCCGGGACCCTTCAGTCTGCGGCTGACCCTCTATCCATTGAGCCACACCGGCCAGGGCTGCTTCATGGTTCTTGCTTTCTCTGTGTTTTTTTGTTTGTTTGGGGGTTTTTTCTCTGTAATTTTACATTCCCTTTGAACTTTAGCTTTTTGGACCAGCCCAGCCCAGCTCAGCTGTGTGCAGGATGGCCAGCGACAGAAGATTCTGTCCTCATTTGTGCCGGAGGCCTGGAGGGGAGGGGGGCGCGGGGGGGGCGCGGGGGGCGGAGGCGGGGCAGGTGGCAGAGGAGTTTCCTGGGAGCAGGTCCCTTGGGTCCCTGGGCGAATGACTCGGCCCTGCCTGGGCTTCTCGCTCCAGGGAGAAAAGCTTGTGCTTAACCAGGGAGGCGGGGGCAGCCGCGGGGCCTAAGCCTGAGGTCTGGCCGGACGGCCCCTGAGCCACACTCGACCCCGAAAGCCGCCCATGTGCGCGTCATGGGGGACTGGCGTGTGACCAGGTGGGAAGACGTCTCCCAGGTGCCATTATTTTTTTGCACAGGAATTACGGTCCTCTCCTGTAGTCAGAGAAAGGCAGCTCCGCCTGCGCTCCGAGAGGTTAATTTCTTTCCGCCCTTGAATGCGGGGTGGGTTTTCCCCAAGCCCGTGCCCTGGAGTAGTCACGCCTGCAAATGTGCTCATCCCCAGGTCGGCCGGGAGCGATGGGCTGTGGGGAGCAGCCTTTGTCGTGGCTGTTGTTTCCTGCACCTCTAACGAGGGGGCTCTGCCCAAGTCCCGCCCCTGACCAGGGAGCAGGTGGGAAAAATGAACCTTCAATCACTTGCTCCCCTCTCCTCCCCTCCCCTTCCCTCCCTTCCCCTTTTCTCTTCTTCCCTCTTCCCCCCTCCCCCTGCTCTGCCTTCCCCTCTCCTGCCCTCTCCCACCTCCCCCTCCCCTCGCACACAAAACCTCTGCCCAGCTGCTAATGACTGACAGGAACACGAAACCATCTGCTTTATCCATCCTCCCCAAACGGGCCAGTCAGAGGGGCAGGGACGTGGAGAAAACAGGTGGGATTCGTCTTCCCTTTAGTGGTCGGCC